TTTTATTCCTTTCTGAAGATTCAGACTTCTGTTATCAATTCCCTTCAACCTGCCAGATTTTCTTTGCATGTGTGTTTGTTTTCTGTCAAATTTTCTTTATAACAAATTTGTTTTGCTTATCTTAAAATGCCATTATTTTATCTTCTACCTTCATTGTTTCCCATGAAATATTAGCAATAATTTGTATAGCTGTTCCTCTCATAATTTATCACATTTCCTTATTGATTTTAGAATTTTCTCTTTATATCTGTTTTTAGCAAAATGACATACATACCTTGGTATAGTTATCCTTGTAGTAACTTGTGTTTGGTTTGCTGAGTTTCATGAGTCTCCAAATCCATGCTTTTCACCAAAATTGAGAAAATTTTAGTAATTTTCTTTTCAAGTGTTCTGTTGTCCTGACCCATTTTCTCTCTTTTCCTTCTGATACTCCATTTATATGCATGTTTAACCTTTTGATATTATTCCTCAGGTTTTTGAGGTTATACTCAATCATTTTTTCTGTGTTTTTCAGAGTAGATAAGGTTTTTTGATTTAAATTTATGTTCATTGACTTTTTCTTGTCATCTCCCATCTGATAGTAAATCCATCCAAATGAATGTCTCAGAAATATTTTTTTTTTCTCAGCCTTCATTTGGCTCTTTTTTTTATAATTCTGTTTCTTTGCTTGTATTTTCTATTATATAATTTGTTACAAGCACATTTTCCTTTCTGTATTTGAGCATAGTTATAATAGCTATTTTAAAATTCTTATGTGCTGATTCCAACATCTGGGTAATCTTGAAGTAGTTGCAATTGATTCCCTTTTCATTGGAAAGTAGGTCACATTTCCCTGCTTTTTTATATGTCTAATATTCTTGGATTTTACCTTGGACTTTATTTTTGGAGGAGGTCCTTCAGAGGACATGACCTCTGGTTGACCTGCAAACTGGACCTGGACACTCAAAAGCTCCTTAACCCTGCAAACTGGACCTGGACACTCAAAAGCTCCTTATCATATTCCTGTCCTTGAAATATATGTTCTGTATATTATTCCCATTCCTGCAGCTATTTCAAGGATGTAGTCATCACAGAGTAGGTGTTATTGGGATCAACTGGATTGAATACATAAATGAACTCAGTTAAGGTCTCCAGATAATTATTTAAGACTTTGGCACAAGGGGTTGGGTGGGGTGAGTGTGGGCGTGGGTGCAGAAATCTACCTGTCTTGTGGCCACCCACACAGGCTTCTTATGTAAATTTCCTTGCTTATTGAAACTGGGAACTTCTAATCTGGAGTGGCATGCTTCTTTGATCATTCTTGCCTTTTGTGCATGGGGTGTCAATTCAAAATTATCATCCGGGACACTTCCAAAGTTGCAAATCAACAATTACAGATTACATATTCTAGAAATTCTGAATTCTGCTATATTCCTCTGAAGGGCATTGATTTGTGGTGTTCTTGTTTTTGTTTCAATAGGCAGTTAACTTGGCTGGAATCATAAACTCCTCACTCTGTCCCCACTGTGTGACCAGGAATTGAAATCTCTGTTTTGTTCTTTTTGCCATAGCTGGGATACTTAAAATCTGTTTCCCACCTGTGCAATTCAGAGGTCAACTAGATATACAGGAAGATTTTACACACGGAGTTTAGGGCTCTCTCCTCTGTGGCTCTCTTCTTTATGAGATACTGCCTTCACTTTCCAGCTGCTGTTATTGCTCCTATGTCTATTATATGTTTGTTGAAATCATTATGGTTTTGTGTTTTCTATTCAATTTTATCTACCTTAGGTGGGACTGCCTAGGGCCTGCCTTCAGGCAAAAACCTCTAAAATATGGAAAGTGAACTACTGCCCTTTCTTTCTCCCAAGTCTAATCTCCCTTAAGTATCTGTCTGATTCTGCTTTACTCTCCAGTGTCTTCAGGCATTTTTCCCCACAGAGTTGTTATTGCAGGGGTGTTGGTCTTGTAAGGGTTGATCCTGCATTGTCAGACAAACTAAATAAGTGACTTAAAAAATATATATAAGGTATTGAATGATATATATGTGTATATATACACACACATACATTATATGATTTTAACATTTCCTGATTTATTGCATTGTCCCCCTTTTTGTATATTATGCAGAAAGAAAATAAATATATGTATTTTAGCTTGTATCCTTTTCTTCTAGTGACTTTGATGTTTTTAAATTTGGTTATATTTTTGATTATTAAGCAGTTTTCCCACTAAACAAGGACAAGATTATGTACATAAATAATTATAATTTTAAGTGCAAAAATAAATATGATCAACAATTGTTACTGGAACAGTAAGGAACAGATGCTGAGCCAGTGAATGTCATCCTAAATGAACTCCAGGCCCTGGTGACTTTACGGATTCCCACCCTCTCCCATCTCCTTGCTGATAAGATTTCAGGAACAAAGGATTACAACTCAGGGCATGCCATGAACTTGACTTCCTGAACAGAGGGCCACTGAGAACTAGGGGCAGAGTTAGGCGGCCACATTTGACTTAAAATTGTACACATGCATGCTGTTGCTTCTTGCTTTTCAGGCTTCAACTTGCACCCAGGTACTTATAAGACACATGGAAGGAGATACATGGAGGAGAGACATGAAGGTGTAACAGGGTGGTCCCCAGGAAAGGGGGAGGTTCCCTGCCCCACACAAGGGAGGGTGGAGCTGAGCAGGAAGAGGAGAAGCAGCAGAAGACTGAGGAAGGAAGGAAGCAGGATGGAGCCAGGAGACCTGGAGGAGGTGCGTGGAGCCTAGAGACATGTGAAGAAACTGCGCTTGTCTTTTGGTTGTGGACTGGGTGACACAGATGTGGGTGAGACCCAAGGGGAGGTGACAATGACAGCTTTTATCTTGATGTTGATTTTGCTCTTTTCCTTCCGGGCTTGTCTGGTTGTTTCTGACCCTTTTCTGTGGGTCCCCACTGGAAGATGCTTTAGACTTGTGGCAGGCTTTGGGGCCTTGCTCTGCTCCATTCCCATATGGATGGACTTTTACCCACGAGGGGATGGGTAACTTTGGGTGCTTCATTTAGAAACTAGACTCTTTGCCTTACCTGTATTGTTTCCTAGTTGTATTAAAGTTCCTTCCCATTAAAGTCTCATATGTTTTGTGTTGATGCGGCGGATGATGGCAGAACCCATTTAGAATAGGCAGGTTTGCGGGGTTTGGGCTGCCCCTCTCCCTGTTCTATAACAAAGGGACTCTTAGAAGAGATATTGGGAGGTGACACATGGGTGAAAGACATGTGGGGAGGCTGCTTCTAGTCCTTGCAGAGACAATACTGTCATTATTTTAATTGGTATATATTTTTTAAAGACTTATTTATTTATGCATACAAGAACTGGGGTGTAGCCAGAGGTACAGGAGGTGAGAGTGTTAGGGGGAAATGATGTCCTGAGTTAATCACATACAGGCTTTGTGGACCCCACCCCCACTCCAGACTAAAGCCATCAAGACATTGGGAAAGACAAATCCCATCACCACCAAGGGAGGGTGGCTGGGACCTGAGGGTGGAGTTGGGCAGCCAGGTTGGATATAAAAACCAAACACGTGGGCCTTGGGCTCTCTCGCTGGCTCGCGATCGCTCGCCTCCTGGCTTCACTGCTCCTGGCTGGCGGCCAACTCTGAGAGCGCCATTTTGGGATTCCTGATCGGCGGATTGGGTAGGACTCATTTAAAACTTTGTCTCCCACTTTTCTCCCAGAGCTGTACATTTCCTCATTTCCCCTTCCCTTGTAAATAAACCTTTTATGAACCTTTCACGTGTACCTGCAGTAGAGCATTGATAAGTCCCTTTAAGCGCGCGGGTGAGGACCCACAGTCAGGCACCCCGTTTTGTATCGGGGTTGCTCTACAACAAGAGGATTCAGCAGACACAGAGCAGGGAACAGAACAGGCAGATGTACTGAAATACACTGCTGAGGGGAGCAGCGGGTAAGACAGGAGAGGTCTGCTGTGCCATGTGTGTCAGCTCCCTGGATGGGTCTAACTCATGTTGCAGTGACTGGTGAAAGCTTGATAGGTTGTGTCTTTAGCCCCTGCACCACCAGGCAGGCCCTAATTGGTATATTTTGAATTTTGAGTCTCTCCTTCTGTCCCAGCTTTCTGGGACCTGCCTAAACCCTTTAATTGTGGTTCCCTATCAGACGGTACCTTATGCAAGCTTTCAGGCCTCAGTGGCCCTGCTTTGGGACAACCCTGTTTGGCTGAACATTTGTTCAGGAAGGGATGGGTAATTTTGGGAGTTTTAATGGGAAATTATTATTTGAAGTCCTCTTTTCTCTCTATATATCTTTCTCTCTCTGCATACCAATTCTATTAAAAATGTATCACACTAGGAGTCTGCTTCCTTTTCTTCTCTGTGTGTGTATGGCTGAATCCCTTTTGCAGCATGTACCCCTTCATAGTTTGGTGTCCCCAGGTATCCCTTCATCATGCGGTAACACGATATGTTCACTATACATGACAAATTTAAATAAAACTTAATGAAATTCTTCTGTCTTAGGGAAGTGAAATGGCAAATCCAATTGGTTTGACTTTTAACACTTTCAACTGTTGTCAAACGTCAAACTGGTTTTAAAAAACAAAGATGACACAGTTAGCATCACATTTACTACAGTTCATATTTCAATTTGGAATTTGTGGAGTTGAGAGTATGATTCTTAAAATAACCTCAAATGCAGTATAAATTATACATTTCTGGTACACTGTAAACAGGATGTGTTGTTTACAGCTGTTTAGGTCCACTAAATATCTGTAGATTTGCTTCCTCAGCTAGAGCAGGAACTTACTAGCTATAACTCCCTGCCTTGTTCAATAACTTCCAGTAATTATCAGGAAGAAAATGCAATAAATTTATGTAATAGACTGCCCCTTTGCTATAATATACAATCAGAGGCAATCAATGCTTCTTACAATAAGGAGAAGAATTACAACTGTGTTTTATTTTATAGCTTTGGTAATACAGCTTTCGAGACCACCAGAGGGAGTAGAGTTAAACTTCAGTGGTCAAATTCCATTGCGGTAAAACATAGCCTCAGGCTGACATTTTACAAAGTAGAAACACAACAAGGGGTTGTGTACTTCTTAGCAGACTATTTTATTTGTTCACCCATCCAGCTGGTGGAAGACCTCTGTGTATTGCTGCTCTTTTAGTTCATATGCCTAGAATAATAAGAATCTCTCTGAATATAATAAATAATAATCAAGTTTAACCTTTGGCCATATCATTATAAAAAGGAAAGATAGACATAGTTGATAATGAAACCTCCAGTGTTATAGCAACCCACAATGACTTGTTCATTACAAAGTTATATTTGTTATGGTTTTAAAAATATACTTTTATTGTGGTTTAAATCAAAGGACATTTTTGAGCCCTGCCTAGTTATGCTTAAAGTATAATTACACGCTACATATCTTGGTAAGTAAATGAAAGCTTTTCCTTGGTTATTTGTTATAAATTTTACTTTGCCTGTAGCTAAGTGAAGGCCAGGCCTCTAAAGTGTTTCAAGTATAATGCACAGTGAATATAAAACAGTCCATTAATTGGGATAATAGGTCCCAGCATGTAATTGCATTTCCTAGGTACTATGGATAGCAACTGAGTGAAGTGGTATTTATTCAAGGTTGTTAGTCACCCGTGGATAACTTTATTTGTCCACTGATGCTTAAATAAATGCATCATCCATCAGTAAGAATATTTATGAAGAAATTTATAACAAAAATCATTATTGCGTCTCAAATTATGAAAGGAAACAGTATATAAAAGTTACTGAAGAATGCCACAATAAAGTCTTGCAATGCCTCAGGTTACTTGCTTTTATGTTGGTGGGCAGTAAAGTATTATAGAAACTCAAGAATAAATGTGAACCAAACATGATTACTGTACTTCCCTTTATATTGCACCATACAACAAAATATTTGTAAGATAGGAAGTAAATTCCATCAGCAATTTCTAACCCCATAAACTTGCACAGTTTTTCAAGAGAAAAAAAGTCTCCAACAATCTGTCAATGTGCCACAACCTTTGTAATCTCTCGGATAGTTTGTATGAGGCTTTATTTATAGTTGTAAAAGTGTTTCCTTTGGTTTTCATTTAATAGGTTGTTGGCTATTTCTAAGGTGTTAAAAAAAAAAAAACACACATGTTCTATTTATCACCTTATTCAGGAAGAGTCAAGAGTGAATACCAGAGCTCAAGATAAGATTGCCTTCTTTCTCAGAAATCATTAGTAGGACTAAAGGGGAGGACCCAGAATTCTGATTAATTCATCACCATTTTGGACCCTTCAATAACCCAACTTTACCTCCAGATTTTCTGAGAATATCTGGATGAATCCTATAATGTCCTCTGTCCTGTTTACATTGAGTCCCTGAAAGAAACTCAGCATTCCTCTGAAATCATCATGTTCAAGACTGCATTCCTCATGGAGTTCTGTAGCCTAGGAGCAATTTCTGCCTTCTCTACCTTATAATTTCCTATTTTTTTTAACCCCTCTCCATACCATCTATCTACTTTTCATTTATTGACTTAATTATTTGTGCATTTCTTGTCATAATAGATGCACTAAAACTATTTCCTGAATGACTGACTGAATAACTCAATAAATCTTTTCCCTCTCTTTGAGGCAATATAGCTATTTCTAAAATTAAAATGAAAAAGTAATATTCTATTGAAATGTGAGAAATTTATGGAGCTCATAGAGACAGTATATAACGTCCTCTTGTGCTACTGAATAACCCTTGGGAAATAAATATTTCTCTTACCTGTACTGGGAATTTTTGCACTTGTTTGCATTAATGATCACATCTTCGCCCTAAAAATAGAAGGGTTTTGTTTATTAACTTGGGAAATCTTTGCTGTTTCTGGAATTCTTGCTAGGCAATAATAATTAGTGCTTATGTATTATCCTTCATATAGTTTTGGCTATATAATGTGCCACAAAAGAGGACTCTTTGGCCCAGGAACTTTTATTATTTTTTTAAGATTTATTAATTTATTTTGTACAAGAACCAGGGTACAGGCCAGATGTCTGGGAGGGTGAGAAAATTCACCAGAGACAGAGCAGGGAGCAGAACATGCAGACTGACTAAATACACTGCTGAGGGGAGCAATGGGCGAGACAGGAGAGGTCTGCCTCGCCATGTGGGTTGCTCCGAGGCCGGCCAGGATCGAACCAGCACTTCAGGGGCTGTGGACAGCTTCACAGCGCAGCACTCAACCATCTGCGCCACCAGGGAGGCCCAGACCCAGGAACTTTTAGAATTTGAACCGATATACTTTAGAGCCTTTTTGATTCAGACCAAAATTTTAAGCTGTTCCCTTCTTCTCAATTATATTAAACCTTTAAAGTATTGCCATGAGATCACAAAGATTTTTGGAGAAGAACTGAGAACTAAGAAATAAATCTATATCAAATTCATTGGTGCATTCATTCTTACATACAAATGAGCAAATGTTCTAAGAGTCTTGGCATTTTCCTTTTAGCTACAAAGAAATATGAGACACAAATTAATTACTTTATCCTTAAAACCATCCAGATGCATTTTGTTTTAGAAAGAAGACATTTTCTTATTCTTCAGGTTTTTCTAGGAAGGAGCATACATTTTCTAATGGCAAAGAAAATATATGTATTCTATGATAGCAATGGATAACAAGACAAAGAAGATTTAGAAACAGACAACAAAAATAACTAATTTTGAAATCAGAGGTCACTGATAATCTAGTATAATATCATTATCGAATATTGATAGTTGTTTAATATATTCAATAGTTTGTAACTCTTCTATAACCAGTCAGGAAGATAAAGCATGATATGATATCCTTCTAACCTTCTGATCAGCAATTGACATTTCTGGAAAAACTGAGATATGCTGTCTTTTAGAATTTTATTTGGCATGGTCATTAAACTTAGAATAACTATGTCCTTCAGGGGTTCAATTTGTATATAGTTTACATATACATTTGTATATGTAAAAGGGGTACATTTGTATATAGTTTATAGTTGTTGATTCAGACCAAAATTTTAAGCTGTTCCCTTCTTCTCAATTATATTAAACCTTTAAAGTATTGCCATGAGATCACAAAGATCTCATGGCAACTATTTGTATATAGTTTATAGTTGTAAAGGGTAATGAATTAAAAAAAAAAAGATGCTCTAAAGGCATCTAGTTTTTTATAGCTAAAGAAATTTTCAGTAAGAAGACTGCATCCATTCTGTCCCTAGATCATCCCTGAGAAAAACTGAAAACTAAAAATTGTTGTTAAATAACAAAAACATCTTAGCATAATTCCTTCTTTGTAGAGTTTTCTTCCATTATCAAGTTTCTTTATTTTCTATTGAAACAAATTGACTTAAAATCTACTTTCTTCAGAAGCACCAGTGAAGGGCTTTGAAATGACATTATCTTTTTTTAATGTATATTCCTATTGATATAGGCATCATTTTATTTATTTTTTAAAGATTTATTTATTTATGCATTCAAGAGCTGGGGTACAGGCCAGAGACGGGGCGGGGGGGTGGCGGGGCGGTGAAAGGATTCACCAGAGAGAGAGCAGGGAACAGAAAAGGCAGAATGACCAAAGTACACTGCTGAGGGGAGCAGCAGGTGTGTCAGGAGAGGTCTGCTATGCTATGTGGGTTGCTCCCTGGCTGGCCGGGGATCGAACTCATGCTGCAAAGACTGCAGATTGTTTCATAGTGCAGTGCTTAACCCCTTGCACCACCAGGGAGGCCCAGATATAGGCATTGTTTTAAACATTGTATTATATACCTCTCTTCAGAGTGCTATCTACATATAGAGCAATGACAGTTATATTAACATGCACCTAACACTGTCCAGACATTCCATTTATGGTTGACCCAATCAGTCCTGTATCATTCAGACCCTAAATGAAGGGCTTGCCTCAGTCATCAGTGCAAGGTAGTGACTCAAATGCAGAGAATCGCCCTCTTGAGATCATGGCAGTCACAGCCAATAGACTAATTGAGGTGGAGTATAAAGGCCCAATTATTTTGATCCATTGTGGGAGAAGTATTAAGAACCATATATATTACAGAGCGCCCTGTGAAAATGATAATTTGTAGGTTTGCATCACAGTTTGACTTCACGCTGCACCCAATTCTGCTTCTACTTTCTTCCTTCCAAATGTTAGAACTTGGCTCCAGAGACCCCAACCTACAATGTTACTTTTTATTTTTTATTATTTATTTATTTAAAGATTTATTTATTTATTTATTTATTTATTTATTTATTTATTTATTTATTTATACAAGCACTGGGTACAGTCAGAAGCGTGGGAGGGTGAGAGAATTCACCAGAGACAGAGCGGGGAGCAGAGCAGGCAGAAGGACCGAAGTACACTGCTGAGGGGAGCAGTAGGCGGCAGGAGAGGTCTGTGTGCCATGCTGGACCCTCCTCCAGTGGCTGGGGAGCAGCCGGGGATCAAACCAGCACTGCAGAGGCTGCAAGCAGTTTTGCAACCCAGCACTCAACCGCTGCACCACCGGGGAGCCCCTACAATGTTACTTTTTATACCTCTAAATTTTCCCAAATCTGACTAGACCTTTGATTTCTTCTATGTGTAGATTATCTGGCAAAACCACATACTTTCCTCTCTCCCCTTCATTACTAATATTGGCCTTCAACAATATGAACTATCATAAGAGTCACATCTGTCAAACTTCATTATTTATTCACCCTGGTGGGAATGCTCTATAATGGGCGAAACAGTGTACAAGCAAAGTAAATCATATCACCTTTGATCATTTCTTCTACCCTCCCTTCTGACCATATCTCATAATCCATCCACTGCTTTCATAAAATGATCAGAGAGTGAACATCATAGAGGAGGGAGCCCCAAGGACTAATATCTCCAAATAGACACTGAAAAATGAGTGGAAACTGTCAAAATCAACTTTTTTGAATGTGGAAAAGTAGAAAAAGCTTTACAGCAACCAAGTAATAACTGAATGAAGAAAAAGGCAACTTAAATATGGAAGTAAAACTTTGTGGTGTGCCTCATTCCTCTCCCTGGTATAGCAGTTGTTTTGAAGACAGCACTCATATTATTGGTATAGGTACTTGTTTTCAGAGGGAGCAGAACAGAACTTATTTTTTGAAATGTGTGTGTCTCTTTTTGACCCATCTTAAGGTTCCCTAAAGGCCTGGTACAAGGTGCTTGTTTTTGTTTTGCTTAACTCAAAACTATCTCAAGGTGGAAAAGGGCTAAACAGAGGATATTTATTAAAAAAAAAAATAACATAAACGAAGAAGCTACTGCAGCCTATGGCAAAATATTACATGTAGGGAAAATAATAAACATACTGAGAGCCAAACTAGAAAATCTAGGGAGAGAGTCATTTTGGGGAATAAAGGCATTTAAAAACTTCTAGAAATTATGGGGAATGTGGAAAGTCATGGGCATTGCCAGAGTAGGACACATGCTGAGAGAAGAACTGTGAAGGCATTAAGCTTTCACCTCTGGCTGTCCTTTAGGTACAATACAGGGGAGAAATAAGAGCTAATGTAGAGTTGTAAAGAGAGTGGCTAAGTGTTGATAGAGTATTTAACACAGATCCAGATGGCAATGACCAGGAAAATGTTTTTTTCCTTTTTCGTTTGGCTCTAGGCATTTAACAAATCTCTGGCAAACCACTGTTTGGTCACAAGATAAAAGACTTTAGACTTCGTAGATCACATACAAGAACAAAAGTATTCTTTACATTTTAGAAATATCAGCAAATAGACAAGCAACTATAACCCACAGTAACAACAACAAACCCTGAGAAGGGGGTAGAATCAGTATTTTAGAGTTAGCATATTAGAATATTCAAAATGTCCAATTTTCAACAAAAAAATTACAAAGCTTGTAAAGAAACTAAAAATTTGGCCTTTATCCTGAAAAAAATAAATTAAAATGATCCCCGAGGAAGAACAGAAATTAGAGACATTAAAGAAATCCTTTAAGTCAACTGTCTTGAATATGCTCAAAGAATGAAAGGAAATGAGGAGAACAATATCATATTAAGTAGAGAATTCTACAAGATAAGAATGATTAAAAATAATTAAAGAGAAAATATGGAGCTGAAAAGTATAATCACCAAGATGGAAATTTCAATTGAGGGATTCACAGCGGAGCACGGGAGCCAAAAGAAAGAATTAGTCGACACATAAAGATAGGTCAATTGAAATTATACCAGCAGAGGAAAAGAATAAAGAAAAATGAACACAGCCTAAGAGACCTGTGGGCACCAATAAGCATACCAACATATGAATAGTAGGAGCCTAAGAATGAGAGAAGTAAATGAGGAAGAATAAGAAGAAATAATTGCTGTTAACTTCCCAAATTTGATAAAAGATATGAATGTACACATCTATGAAGCTGAACAAAGTTCACGTAGAATAAAAACAAAGGCATCTATGTCAGAACATGTTATATTCAAATTTTCAAAACACCAAGGCAGAATCTTAAAAGTATCAAGAAAGAAGCAACTGGTCATGTACAGAAGTGAAGTCTACCAAAGGTCGATAAAAGAATAATAGCTATTCTTAAACACTTCCAAAAACATAAAAGTGGAGGGAACACACTTCCTAACTCATTCTATAAGGCCAGTAGTTCCCTGATACTAAGCCAAAACATCACAAGTGGGAGAAAATATAGGCACAATATACATTCTACATATACAAGAACTACAAAGAATTCATACAGCTCAACAAAAAGGAAGCAAATGACCCAATCACAAAATGGGCAGAAGAGCTAAATGGATACTTCTTCAAGGAAGACATGCAGATGATCAACAGGCCATGAAAATAT